ATTTGGTGACAGTATTGGTGCTCATGAGTGGTGTGAGTGGTAAGAGTGGTGCCGATGGGTCTGTAGAAGTAGATAATGTGATAATCGGTCAGATTTGGCAAATGGTAGTAAAGAAGTCGTCCGAAGCGGTCAGTGGTTCTGACGCCACGTTTGCGGTCGTAATTGGTTTCAATCAATTGCCTGTCGTTTCTGAACAACAGGTGGTGACCACTGAAGCCCATTGTTATCAATGCACTCATCGTTTGGGATGTGATTAATGTGTAAACACTTAGTGTTAAACATATTATTAACAATAGTTTGTGTTTTAAATGCAATTTAGACGACAATCCATNAGGTGGTGACCACTGAAGCCCATTGTTATCAATGCACTCATCGTTTGGGATGTGATTAATGTGTAAACACTTAGTGTTAAACATATTATTAACAATAGTTTGTGTTTTAAATGCAATTTAGACGACAATCCATGGATTGCATCAAATGATGGCATTCTTGCCATTCAATCACACTTTCACTCCATATATAGTCCACTCTTTTCACTACCAATTCATCGCTTATTACATAATAAATAAACTTTTAATTCAATTAAATAAATAACTAATTTATATAAATAAATATTTGTAATCAAAATGTGATAACAAATCAACCATTTATTGCAAACATTTGACGTAATCATCAAAACATAGCGTTATATGCATTATATGACGTTATTTATGATCACTAACTTTAACTGCCCTTTGGTTTGCATTCAATGATTATTAAATCACTCAATCATTTATAGCTATTTATAAATTACACCAACACTTGAGTACAGACCCAATAGTAGGACAATAATAGACCATATGTTCAATGATGTGGCCATTTATGCCCACACTATCACACTGTCAAGTGTTGGCCGGGGTTTGGGTCACAAATGGGGGGCAAATGATGACAGATAATAATGTATTGAACAATGTTTTGAATCAAACTATCAATTGTATGGAAATATTATACAACTTATAAATTGTATGTGATTTACATTCAGTTGTCATTCAAATCAAATCTGTTTGACTCACTTATTGTTGACAAACATATAGTTTTGATTGAATATTACAAACAATGTATAGCCTTATGAGCCGATCGTACAAACAATTGACTTCAAAAGTATGTTTACAATAGTTTTGAATCAAAACTTTTGATGCGATTTCAAAGTAATTAATTGTGGTTTTGTTGAGGCGTTGAATATAGGGTTAAGTGTGCGCTCACTTCACACCACATTCACCCGCAATGCCGTTCAAAGCCAGTCATCACTACTTGTGGTGAATGAGTCCAATGGTGTCCGAGAAGTGCTCTTAAATAACCCCAAAAAGAGGTGAACAAATGTTTTACATAATTGTCGACACAATCGGTGTTTGAAAACTGTTTACAAATGTAAACAAATGTTTAATTTAAGGCTTTGTGGTTACTATTGATAGATAACAATGATTTTGGGTCGGGTTCCTGAAAATGACCACAACTTTTCTTGGGTACAACTGAACGGTGAACGCGAATATCAAGTTTAAAACTTTTTATTTCGAATATCTTTTGAGTTATTCGACTTACGTTAGAACTTTTGTTCGAAAAATATTTTTGAACGAAATATATTAATATCTTATATGCGATACAGAATTGAACGCTGAACACGAATTTGAAATCCAAATGTGTCTAGGTTCAATTCCTTTCGAGATATTCGACTTTCAGTTAGTCCGTAACTGAATTAAATTACATTTAGTTATTCATTATATATTACAACACAATAACACATAATTTAACACAACATTTATTGAATATCTCAAACTATATTCAATTTGTTATCAATAATATAGTTAAGTACATTGTTACAATATACATTAACAAATGTAGTTTAGTATTTACAATGAATTCAAGGAAAACCGATTGTTTGCAATTTTGCCCATATTTTGCAAGTGTTTTAGCTTTACGTAAATTTTAACCACAATTTATATGTGAAGATGTGGTTTATAGAATCTCGACGCTACCCCTCCCCCAACCCTATGGGATGTTATGCTAATCCTATGGCTATACTGTACCTTAACATAAAGGAGACTCTCATAGGATGACATGGGGACACTTTTGCTACGGGAAAATGAGTTTATATAGGTTTCTATGGGATTACAGCTTATGTCTATGGCAATGTTAATCCTGTGGGTAATGTTAAGTCTATGGGAGTAATGTTATTTCAATGGGATAATTCTTTTCCTATGGAGATATATTAAACGAATTGACAAATTAAATCGAACTAATTGTAGTCAAAAACATTTAAAATTTTCAAAATTACAAAAGTGAAAGTATCCTAACAAAAGTATTGAAAAATTTAAAATGTTTGTTGCGTTTGCCGAATTGTAATGAACGCATAGCATGGCGTGTGAACCTTGTTCATATTAAATAAGGCAAATGTTGAAAAAGTATTTGTTGTTAAAATACTTTTATGGTTTCAATTCAAAAGTTGGTGTTATTGTGGTTTGAGTTGAAATGACTGCCAATTGCTGTTATATTTGGTTTATTTGATTCACACGAATAGAAAATAGCAATACATTAGGAGATGGAGTGAATATTATTGTAAATTTAATACCGTATATGTAATGCATTCTCTATCTAAACATATTCCCAAATTCTGGTCACGAAATGCTTAAATCACAAAAACATACATTTGTTGGCAAATTCTTTAGAGAATATTTTCATATTTACTGCAAATAATTGTATTTCATGTCAAATGAAGTTTCGCTAAATTTTTTATTCTTTAAATATTCCGAAATATTTCAATGGATTTTCTCAATAGGTTTGCAATTATAGTATAGTTTATGCTAACATTTTTTCAAAGTGATAAGAAATATAATCCCTATTTTTTACTCAACCTATTCAATAACCGATAGCTTTTGTTACACAAAATGCACACAATTTGTGAGTTAAGTTAATTTTAAAGTGAATTAACTGTGAAATATCATTTCAAATAACACACATTTTGTATATTTGATTTATTTTCAATGATTACTCTATTTTATTGGAGTATAAGCCGCATATTATTATAGTTATGGTATTAGAAATAAGTTTTTTGTGTATATAATCGATGAATTATTGTCACAAGAATTATGGTAGTTAAAAACTCGTGCTAAAGTGAATAATAGGAATTAATCTTCACACAATTGATAAAATTTGATAATCAAAAATAGTTGAGTCACTTCCAAATATTGTTCTTAATTAAAATATGGGAAAATACACCCAAAATTAATTAATTAATTAAAATAATTTTTTTTGTGAAAAAGTGACGAAATATTTAGATTTATTTGTATTGTTGTGAAACAAATTGACATTTTATGAAATATATGTTTTGTTAATAGGAATGTGTTATCGCTTTCAATGATTGAAAGTCTGCGGAAAGTAATGGTAGACAATCCGTCACTTCGATGTGTTGTCATTAGCTCTAATGGACCCGTCTTTTCGTCGGGACACGATCTTAAAGAACTGGTATGTCTTCCCATGTTTTCACTGAGAGAGAGAGA